GCCTTACTCTTTTGATTATATTGCAATTATAACATCTTGGTTATACAGTCACCAAACTAAACCAAACAAACATATCAAGTAGGGTCTATTATAGACTAATATGGAAACAAATAATCTGCAAGTCTGGTTTTATTTATAAGCTTATTTGAGTTTTTACCCTAGGCTCATATTAATCGGGTTTGTGGTTTCCACATCTGTACTGCTGATGCCCAGTGCAGACTGCATGCCAAGTCAGACCTGGGCATCCTCCAAGCTCTAAATAGAAAACATATGCTTCAACTCCAGCCACCTCAAGACAAGCAGGGCAAGTAACCTACCAAATAACCACAGCGGGTGCAGCAGGCAGAGCAAAACTCTGGGGAACTTTCAGAGGTGCCTGTTTGAAAGCTTCTTGCTTCTGACTTGCTCCAGGGGCAGCCAGACTGCCGCCTGTATTATATTTGCTCTCTCTGATGATCGAGAGATAGCAATTCCCTTTGTAGCCTCCCCTTCCTCTAGCTGCAGCTAGAAATTCACAGACTGGACCAGTTAGTTCCCAGTGTCAGCTAGTAATACATATTCTAGAGGAAGATGGAAGAACTCTTGCAGATGATGGCAGTGCAGTATGAATTCTTTCCAGAACTCTTGATTGTTTTTAATATTTATAAAAAGCATTCTGAACATTCATGAGAGCCATAAATATATGGATAAAAAATGCCCAGTGCCCTTTGTCAAGCCAAAATAGATCCAGCTGTTCTGTGGTGCTGGTCTCTGACTGCAGAGAATCCCTGCATTAATGAAAGATGTATAAAGGGAATCCCAAACTAGAAATATGATCTCAGCTAAAGACTGCTTAAAGCAACTATTAGACAGTACTTCAGGGAAGGACATGAATACAAAGCTGATTCTCACTACAGCCAAGATCCAGTCACATGAACCCACCTCCATAAGGAAATCTGTACTGCCCGCAAACGGTTTTTAGGACAAGATGCTTCCAGACACACTTTGTTTTGTTCTGGTACAACATCTTCCAAGTTCTGTGCCAGTAAAATTGCGTCACTGCAGACTCAACCTAGAGTCGATCAGAAACACAGCACAGTATGAGCACCAGGCCTGCTCCCTTCTGGGGCAGATGAGGAAGGCCAGTACATGAGCTGTAGCAAATGACACGCGAGCATTAGGGGGGAAAAAGGAAGCAGTATTACTGGTGTAAATACTAGAAAATTGGCAAAGGCAGTCAGTTTCTGTCCCTATATAACTTATGATGATCATTCAGCAGCTTCTGCCACCTGTAGCAATCATTATTTTCCTGACAGTTTCAACAAAAGTGGCGTACAGCAGTGCCATACATTTTTTAAAGTTACATCTGTGCATGCTGTTCATGCAGAAATATTGTGATTCATGTTAAGAATGCAGAGAAGGGAAAGGGAGGAGGTGTAAGGAGTGAGAAAAAATTGACACAACCTCAGTGCCCCATTCATGTTGAAGGGAATCGCTCTGTCATCCATCATTCTCTTTCTCAGAGCATTGCTTTGCCCAACGTGGCTGATCCACTAGCGCTCAGGCAGAGGTAATTGTTATGAAATTGAGATAGCAAAAGAGCAGTGCCTGATAACAGAAGGGCAGATCTGTCATCAGCACAGAAGGCAGTCTTTCCTTGTGGCAGTAGCTAAAGGAAAGAAGATGCAATTAACAATTAGCTTTGGTAAGAGAAGACAAAACTTTTAAAACAGATTCTGCTGCAGGAAATCAAGCCACAGACTTAGGAATTAATGGTTCAAAGTCTTGATTCTTGCCTTGCTAGATATAATATAAGATGAAAGAGAGGGAATTCCTTTTGCCATTTATTCTGGCTAGCTAAGAACCAAGGTTTAGCTATGGAAAAAGGCCAATCTTACAACAGTTACAGGAAATGAGAATAGCTTTGCAGCATTTCCAAGCAAATCCAGCACACCTTCAGCTTATATTCTGGGTACAAAGTTCAGGCTTCTCACCTCAGAAAACAAAATGGAAGTGTTTGGAAGGGCCCTTCACAGCTCTCTAACTTCTCAAGTTAGAATCAAATTTACAAAGAGCTCTTGGTATATTAAGCAGGCTTTACTTTCATACATTTGACCTTTGAACTGCATACTCCTCCTCCCAAGCTTGGTTAATGGATCTGGAAAAACAGATAGAAATTAAGATTAGAAAGATCATGCCAGTAGCGCTGTTTATGAACATAACCTGAAGGTTTACCTGCACTGCTTGCTTCTAAATGACTTGCTTAAATACAGCTGTGTGTGCAGCCTTGGCAACAACCCAGCTAAGAAGCTGCGTCCCCACACAGTGAGTCCAAACTCTGCTCTTTGTTGTATCTGAGCAAACTAGGTGGAATCTCACTGGTCTCCAAAAGCTGAAGAGAACACACTGGAACTACTCTTAGCACAGCCTCTGCTCTGATGTGTGACACCTGGGTCAGACAACACCGTTGCCACCTAAGCCAGCTGCAGCGTGACTCCGCTTGTTAATGCAGAGCTCCTGTAGATGCTTTACACCTGGGCTGAAACCTTTGGGACTGATCCTGCACACAACTACATGGGGTCGAGATGCAAGAATTCAGTACAGACTCATCTGAAAAAATGCTCTTTGAAAAAGCTGTTGAACAGTGATAGTACTAGGGCAAAGATGAAGACAATCACTGCTCTGAATGCTATTTTCCCTACTGTATCAGGCTCTGTAGAGCTTGGTAGAATTCAAGATAGAAATGTAACACGCTTTCGCATAATGTTGCCAGTCAGTGCCACGATTTCTGCTCTACAGGGAGGGGCAATTGCTAAGGAAAAAACATAGTTCATGAGACAGTTCCTACGTGTAGGTTATATGCAAACCGTCAAGTGCTGCCTCACAAGGATGGACTGGATTCTCATGTCAGAAATTTCACCTAATAACTTAGATGTGTTGGACTTCATTTCCAACGAGAACGAGATCCATGTAATTCAGATTAGTGATTCAGATTCTGTCTTCATAAACCCAGTCCCTAAAAAAAAAAAAAAAAAAAAATAAAGCTCACTTTTAAAAATTAAATATTCAGAAAAATACCTGATTATTTTGGGGTAGTATTCATAAGCAAATGTATATCTAACTAAACTATGTGTGTTGCCCACTTGTCAGATGCAGGTTGGGCACAATTCAGTCTGCATCAGTAGCAATAGCTGCAGATCCTTCTGAAGTGAATAATTATTACAAGTCTCATGTGGGGCCACACTGGAGATGTGCAAGGAGTACCACCAACTAATCCACGCACCAGAAGTAGTGCTTTTATGCAAATAAAAGGCAGGTATATTCCTCTCCATTTGACACATTGCGTGTGGATTAATTGAGACTATCAAACGACATTAAAGAACTACCTTGTTCTGTGATTTCATGGTCCACAGGTGCAGGAGAACAAATCCAGCACAGCCTATAGACTTAGATAAACAACCTTGTGCAGCATTGCCAGCTGTTCTTTTCCTCCCCTTCCTGACTGCTTTGGTTCTTCATATTTTCCACATCTATTTTTTTGTCCTTTGTCCACAGCACACTATGTTGCTTGTGCTTGTAATGATTAATTTCACAGCTCACACCTAATTTGACCCTAATAACTTTGGCTGCAAAGAAGTAAAATGGACAACTGGTTGTTGCTCCAGACAACTTATCACCCCATGAACACAATAAAGGCAGAGCTGTTTATCAACAGGGAGATGCCCATTACTATTTTTACAGGCAGAATGCTGGAGCTCCCTTATCAAGCAGAGAGAGTAAGCATGTAGTCCAGGCACGCAGAGGGGAGGCAGACTGCTTTCAGCCTGCAAGGCCACACAATATGGGAAGTGGTCGCTTGAAAGAGGAGTGGGAAGAATGACAGATGTTTTGTGCCTGTGCGTTTTTTTAGAGGACACTGGGTCCCTGCCATGGGAACAGGGTGGACAGTAAAGGCAGTGGACTAGATGTGAAGAGTGACAAAGCAAGTCAGCCATGGACAGCCTGTGGGAGGCCAGAGGAAATGCACCATTAGTCAAAGTTGGAGGAAAAATAAAATGCGATGACAACTGGGCCATTCATGTACTTCCCCTTCAAGGACTGACCAGACCCTTCATGACTCAAAAGACTCAAGTATCAGCTTCTTTCTCTCTTCATCCAGGCTAATGTGCGCCAGCACAGTCTGAGAAACTCCCTTGTCGCTTTTATTAATTCTTATCTTGTTGTTCTTGGCTACACTTCACTGCAGTACAGTGAGGGAGAGTGCTTCAATCAGTAATGCAGATCCAAGTGAGCACCCTCTTCTGTTGTTCTTACATATCAACTCGATAGCTTAAAGCAAACGTGCATCCAACGTATGAACTTGAGAAATATTAGGACTTCCAAAACTAGAAAGCAAGGCAATGAGGTGGCCTCACAAGGATGTTCAAGCCCCAAACACAATCTTATGACGGTCCATTTGCCACTTTATGTAAGAAGAGCAAGACCTTAAAGTTCTGAGTAACCACAGTGACAGTGAAGACAGCCTTGCATTTCACAAGCAAATTTCATCTGATACACCATTCCATCACTGTCACAATAATCCTGAGGCACACTTGTTAGCACCCATGAATCTGATGTATTTGGTCATTAAGGAAAGGCAGTGCCCTTCAAAAAAACCCCACATAAACACTTACAAATAGCTGATCTCTTATTCTTCAGTAGAGATTGTGCCATAGCTGAGGAGAAACCTTATTTAGAACTGCCTTCTCTGATGCTGTGGCATTTCCAGATTTGGAAAGTAGAAGAGAGCTGAATGAAAAGGCACGCAGGAAATCCTGAAATGCTCCTTCAAGAATAATAAACACCCTGGACTCCTACCCCACCTAAAGGGAATTCGCTCATTAACACTTAAACAGAACGTAACAAAGTAAAACAGAATGAAGTGACTACAGAAAAGCAGACATGACAAAAATTGAGAGGAACACAATTAAAACTCTTAATTAAGGACAAGGTCAAAATCTCGACCAAAAACTTGATGGTATCCCAGACAGATGCAGAACGAACAAGACCAGGAATCAATGCAAGCAAACTGCCAAGAAAATTCTCCTTATTTTTCCTGCATTTGAAGTATTCCTATTGAAGAAATTCAGTGAGAACCAAGAGGCAAAAATCAAAACATCTCTCATGATTTAATTCGATCCCAGTCTGATGTAAATTAAATAAATCCTTTGATAACCTGAGAACCAATTCTTAAGACTCCAAACAGCCCGTGTTCTTTAAATTGCCTATGGTTAATCATCTCTGCTTTCTACATTACTGCAATCTGGAATCATTCACCTAAGCTAGCCAAACTTAACAGTGCTATCAGAGTATGAGGGCCCTGCTGCCCACACTGCTATGCTTACCAACATCTTCCCAATTGTTTAGCAGTCTTTTCAGGAGAACATTCATCGATTCCATTTCTCTAAGGAAAATGCCTGGGTTTTCTGATGTTTTCAGCTGTGTTTGTACAACTTGCCTTCATGTGAAAATTAATGCACTTCCTCTTCACCCTCTGAGACAAAGAAAGAAAGATTATCGGGATTTAATAAAAATGTCAAAGCTCAATCTTTGTCCCCATTTAACAAAAGCATTTAAATAAAGGCTTCTGTGCATCATTAATTGTGTTAGAAACTTCAAGGAATGCTGCAATTTAAAATAGCTCAAACCCCTGCATAAAGCTAAAAAGTGCTGGACAGCCTGCTGCTGTGACACTGTGCGAATAAAACCGTGTTTGGTTGCATTCAGTTCTGGTTCTGTTTCAATAGATGTACACAGCTTAATAATAAATTTGAGCCTCATCTCACAGGGACATTGCAAAGAAAAGCATTTATGTATTTTCCTGCTTCTTTTTCCCCCCTCCAAGTTTAAATCCTAAAAGCTGTATTTTTTTCTATTGTCTTCTTCCCCTTGTTATCTTAGAAAATGTTAGCTAGGTATTTTCTTACGTCTCTAGAGCTATGCAATATTTTAAGAGACATAGGTTGAGCAGGTATCCATTGTCCTTTTTAGATTTGTTACCATCTATCCAGCTCAAGCTCCTAACGCAGCCTTGGGAAAAAGAAGTCCCCTTGCGAAAGGTTTGAGAAGAATCTTGCTGTTCTTCTATTTTCTGCCAAAACAAGGAAGGACAAGCCCGATTCCCACCTTGCTGTATGATAAGGGTAAGAAGGATAGGAAAACATCCCACAACAGTCCCTGTTGTGAAAGAGAATGGGGGAAGAGGGACAAAAACAGTGAGGACGTTTATGGTTCATCTTTTGCAGAGCATTGAGGGTTTCCCTGACTTAATGCTTTAATACATCAGATAAACTCGATCTCAAAATGCTGAGATTTTAGCCTGGAAAAACATTCCCCCCACCCCCTCCTTGGAGATGCTGGTTCCGACAGGCTGCAGCTCCCAGTACCTCTATTCCTAGCTAACAATGCAAAGCACCTTGTTCAAACAAGACTGGTCTCCATTTCACACAATCGCCCCAGGGAATATTCGCTTTTCTCTTCATACTACACCAATCTGACTGATGCAATTGGATTCTGGAAATGTGCCTTACTAGTTTCTATTCCAGATTCTTAGGGATGATGCTAATTTTCCATTGTAGAACTGGAAAATTTTAGGTGTGCTAGATCTAGTCTGTAAGAAATGACAGCAAACAAAGCAGCACATACAATTAACTCACAAACCGTGTTTGGAAATGGACGTTACTTAACGGCGCCCCTTGCAAAGAAAATCTACAGGGAAAATAAGACAACCTTCCTCACTCCAGCAGTGCTTGAAAGGAGACATTTTACATCCACACGATGAATGTGGATGCATCGATTAATTTGTGCACCCAGTTCACCATCCTAACTGTTTTCTTTCCAGTGGTACAATGTTAAGCCTAAGAAAGCCTAGGAGTCCCATTTTATTCTTTAAAGATTTGATCGTTTTCTTTTGTTTCCCATAGCAAACAGAATCCTATTCACATCCCAAACAGAACGCCAGCAGTTGGCATGGTGTTTTTTTAAGGCACATACGAGATTAAAGACTGAAATCAGATGCAGCGTTGCCAAAGTCTTTGCAATATGCATATTTTCATGGCAAGATGATTGACAAGAATTGCAGTAAGGTGCTGAAGGGAATATTTCACCTGGCCCATCAAAATTCAATGTAAAGGATTAGAACTAAGAAGAGCTGACAGTATTGACTTTGAGTGCCACAACAGAAACATAATTAGCTTTTTGACATGCAGTGGACAGAATTTTCTATTTTATAGACAGAGTAATTAAACCAAATCTGTTTCATGCTGCCCCAGAAAACAAACACTCTACCGCACCCCGTCTCCCTAGCACAAAAAAGGTCTGCTCTTATGCTTCCTCCTTTCCTAGTAAAATTCAGGTTTGGCACTAGAATAAATGCATGCAACTCCAGCCTTTCTCCTGGAAGAACATCAGGAAAACTTTGTGCATAAAACTAAAAAACCTCTCTTAAAAGGGAGCATATAGATCTGAAAGAATGAAAAAGTCAATGAATTTTATATAAGGTTACTTATTGCAAAACAAACTGTCTGCACTATGCTTATTAAAGGCATATTTCATTGCCTAATCATATATGTCTATTGTATCTTTCATGTTTTGAACCGTAATAGCAGTCTGTTCCCCAACTGTAATAATGAAAGACATTTTGGCGTATGCTTATATTGATTCTACTTTAACAAAGCACTTGAGACACATGCATGCAACCCACTGAAATTAATGGCTCACACTGAGTACATGCATTTCGTTGGGATTCAGACAAGCAGCAATGTAGCTGGGCACAAAGTTGCCGACTTCACAGGATAAGCTTGAGCCTCTGAAGGAGTCTTCAAACTTTACAATGTTTAAATGTTTTGGTCAGAAATACACTCTTTTTGCTAGCATGGCTATTCTATGGAGTAACCATATTCTATTTCTATGGATAAAAACATGTCTGAAGGAATAATAACAACCGCAGAAACCTCTTCCAGGAGGTGTTCACAGAAAACAGTGCATGTTTACAGGAGAAAATGCAAAACTTAATTGTAGACAATAACTTACCGTTAAGAACAAGCTATCACTGGCTGTAAGTGACACAGCATATTCAATTCCCACTTCTATAAACTCACAAAGATTGTCTGTGCACTTGTCTGTTATTCTTGTTGGCAGTGCGATTAAAAGGTGTATGGAGATAAAGAGGGGAAAAAAATAAAGAGCAATGCTTACCTCATTCCCTTTTTAGCCAGTAATCCTACCTATCCTAATTAGAACCTGCAGTGAAAGAAATCCAGGAAACAGAGTAAAAATAACTTTAAATGCAATTAATTCAATACTTCTTCTTCAATATCAATCCCAGGAAAGATATGTAATGTTAGAACAGCCTGTTCCAGCAGCTCAGCATCACTCAATTTAATGGGAACTTCTCATCAAAAGAAATGAACATAAAGAAATAAAATTGGGATTAACTCAATCAATGTAGTTCCCTTCTTTCCTGATAGAAATTTCTCACAGTTTTTAAACACGTGTTGCTAGCATTTCTTAATTAATTTAAAATATTTTTTATCTATCAACCATGTACACAGCTACTAATTGGCTTTGCTGTAATGTATTTTTCCTCTGTATTTCCTAGTCTAAAACCCAAATGGCTAAAATACAGGTTACCCCTGCATAATACTCTGCACTGTATTTCAGTAAGTTTCCGAGTTACATCTGGCTGAGTCCTCAGCAGCACCTCAGCACACAGACTGCAAACATACCTGGTATCATTAGCAGCAATTAACAGCAGAGCATAATTGAAATCATACGTACTTCATCTAGAGTTGTTTTGAATTCAAATTTAAATAGTTTTGAAGGTCGCCCAGCCTGGAATAATGGCCATTCAGTTTATGCATCAGAGGGAGGCAGGGGCCAACATTTCCTTATTAATCGCTCTGAGTCCAGCTTCCTTCACATGTACTTCTAACATTAAGAGCAAACAATACCTAAATATAAAGCGTATATGTATGAAGCTACGTGCAATTAACAACAAAAAAACATTTACAAAAAAATACATTCTTTATTAATTTGTTAATTCACAACACAATAAATATCAGATAATACATGAGGGACCCAGCAAGGCTCAGACTTGTCTGCGCCATGGTGTGGTTTGACAAACAAGCCATCATCAGCTGGAATCCTGAAAAAAAACCCCAGAATTATTTTTGACTTTCACACACAATCAGTGGTTTGTGGCATAGATCAGCCCATCTCAACTGACATCAGTCAGGCTTTGAAAAACAGTGCTTAAGGACCATCCCAGAAAGTTACGTAAAGAATCTTTCAGGAAAAAAAGCACAAATCACATTACTTTCCTTATTCTATCTGACATTGGGTTTATGCAGGTGTGAATAAACATTTAGTTTTACTTCAGGTGGCAACGCTGTCCATTAAATGTGGAGTAGAAATAGGCAGCAGTCCATAATACAGGATCCATTTTCCACATAACAACTGTAAAACCAGAAGACTTCTATTATTTGAAGGATGCTTACAGGCCTCAGTTTCAAACACTGAATATATTCAGAACACGTTTCCTTAAGATCTCTTCACTGGCTGTCCCAAATAATTTTCAACCTTACAATGAATGAAATGAACTAAACTTTCCACTGATCACTCTGGAGAAACAGACAATTCAGTCTGCTGGATGCATTACTATGAAAGAGGAGAGAAGCCCTTTCATACGAGTGAACACTGACGTTTTCACTCACGGGAGCAAAATGAACTGTAATAAGTAATTACTGGAAAAGAGATGTCGCACATCACATTACAGTTCAGTCAGAGGCGGGATGTTTCTCAGCAAAATCTCTGCAGACAGAGATCTGCTCTGCATCGCAGTGTTTTGAAATATTAAGTAAAAATATCTTTAAAAGCTAATTTACTGCAAATACTGCAAATACTTTCACAACTGGGAAAAACGATTAGGTTTTTGGCTGTATCATTTCCACTGGGCCTCTATGAAAGGAAGTAGAAATTTCTGAAGGTGCAGGTATACATGCATTCACGTGCAGATACACAATTTTGATACCATCTCCTATAAAGGAGGTTGCAATATTCAGGCAGTTTTCTGACTGCGTTACCACTCAGTGTATTTCTATACAAGGTTATCATGGTTTTGCAGATGAATAATTACATCAGCAGATCTGAAAGGGAATAACGCCTTCAGTGAAACTGCATCACCTCTTATTTCATGGATCAGAAACATCAGTAAACTTTGAAGAGAAAGGATTTGGTATTTCTTTTGCTGTTTTTAAAGCCAGAACAAATTCTGAAAACCAGAGTATTCAAGTGTAAACAACAGTGTAATCAATACTGAATATTTTACCAAATCTGATCAATTTTTGCCTAATAGTTTCTCTGACAGGTACAATTCTCATGATAAGGAAACACTTCATATTTGAAATAAACCCATCTTTGTCCATGTTGCAGGCTGCAGTAGCAAAAGTCAGAAAAAAAACCCAATAACAAAAGATAGAGAGGATCATCAGACTACTCTTCTAAAACGTGTAACAAGAGAACACAGGACAGCTATGCAAATATCAAATTACACATGCAAAAACACTTACACAGATTAATTGCAAAAAGGATACATTTTGTTTTACCTGAAGTTGATCTCTCCCTTTTCTACAAATACAATTCTACTGTAAAGGCTGCAAGAAATTAAGTGACCATGCATATCAAAACGTTGGCAACTGCAACTTGGCTTGAAATTCTGTGTGCTTTGTATTGTGCCTTTGTCAGGCTACTTACACATACTTAACTTATTCTGCAAAAGAAGTTTAAACATCAGATTTCTAACGATTCTTCATTGCCACAAATTAGCCAGCATCTCCCCCTTGTGGACAGAAGGAAAACTAGTACAAACTTGCAATAGGTTAATTATTACTTTGGTCAATACTAAAACAAAACAAAACAAAACAAAAAATTGCAGATAATTACATATTATACTAAAAAAAAAAAGAAAAAAAAAAAAAGAAAAAAAAGGGGTGACTGTGTAGCTTTAGGGATCTTATGGGAACCCGCCTCTACAAGCACAAAGTCTGAATGTTCAGTATTAGGGTTGGGAATGAAACATCCAAGCACTTAACAGAAAGCACCACACCAAAATTGTAAGGAAAGCTCTGCCTGATGCCTGCTATCTGTATGAAAACAGTGCAAGGCACTTCTGATGACAGCCAACAATGCCAACACAGAAACTCAAATGGCAACTATTTAAGTTTAAGAGGGCCTACGATGTTGGTGACTTTTTATATATTTTTGTACATAAAGCTCCCAGGAAGAAAAAGAGCTGTTTGCACTTTCACAGAGAGGGATTTGTTACAGCGTGAATTGCAAAAGTACAGAGGGAACGAGAAAGGCTCCTGGAACTCAAACTATCAAAGCTATTTCAACTCCAATTGCCCCTTTCCTTTTCAGATATGCTTTGTGCTTTTTTTCCTCCTTTCCAGGGATGGTATTTAACCTCAGCAACCTGTTACTGTTGCATCCAGGCCGGAACGTTTTGTAATATGCAGCTTGGTAATTTCCTCAGCGCAGGTAGGGTGAATGCCAATCGTCTTCATCAGCTGAGGGTACGTAGCACCACATCTACCAAAAGAGAAAAAAGGAAAGACCCGGAAGTCAGACATTATTCACTCAAAGCAGATAGAATTTCCTAAAACATCCAACTAATCCTGCACTTATCCATTTTATCAGGTGGAGGAAGCTGCATTCATTCTTCAGTACTGTCTGTTATTTCTCAGGCACTTCCACAGTAAAATTCAAACCCAGCTTAGTTACACTGTTAGGCACAGAAGAATTGTCATAAGAGCTGAGACAGAGGGAATCAAGCAATTTACCCCAAGTCACAACTGAGCCTACAGGGAAAAAACAAAAAAAAGCAAAAAAAAAAAACAACAAAACAACAGGAAAAAACTGCAGCCTTCAACTTTTTCATGTGTTTGTGAAACACATGAAACATGTATTTCAGCAACTCCAGATGGAAACACATGCACACACACAGAGGAAGATAATCTTAATTAGGACTGCAGGCAAGAATCTGCTGAAGGAAGCAATACCAGCATATTCTTCCACAATCTTTAGAAAGTCTACTGCTTGCACTCAAATCACCAATGCTATAAACGGGAAAAAATTCCATCATTTGAGAGAAAGGAAAAAAAAAAAAAAGAAAGTTGAGCTAGAAATCCCACTAGCTTCATCTTTTGTCCAATAGCACTCCGAGATTTGACCGCTTTCCTTTGAGCTGCTATTTCTGGCAGGTTACACTGTAAAAAGAGCTGAAATAGGCCTAAACATAAGAATTGTTTCAAATTCTCTATGGAATAGCATTGTATCTCTGCTCAAAATACACAAAAAGAGCTACAGAAGGCTCCTGGTGTCCTGCCTACATGACCCAGGGAAGCACCCAAAGCAAAAACCACTGCTGAGTGTGGGTATTAATTGGTGCTCTAAGTGGA